ATCCCTTGTTTACGATTTCCAGCTAAAATAGCATGGTGTGCCCAAGTAACTGAAGCACCTGAAGTTAAAAGTATAATAGTATTTAAAAAAGGAATTTCCCAAGGATTTAAAACTTGGATTCCTTTAGGAGGCCAAATCGCACCAATTTCTACAGTTGGGGCTAAGCTTGAATGGAAGAAAGCCCAAAAAAATGCAAAGAAAAACATTATTTCAGAAAGAATAAATAATAACATTCCGTAACGTAATCCTACTTGCACAGGAGTAGTATGATGGCCTTGATATGTAGCTTCTCTAATAACGTCTCTCCACCATACATACATAACATAAAATAGTGATAATTGACCAAAAGCCAATAAAATACCTCCACCAGAATATGCATGCATGTACATTACTCCACCTGTTGTTGAAAAAAATACTGCAAAACTAGCTAATAAAGGCCATGGACTTGGATCCACTAAATGAAAAGGATGTTTTCTCATAATTAAAATTTTTTTATTTAGAAGAAATTTAGTTTATTATATTTCTGTACTGGACATTGATACAATAAATTTTAAATCGGTTCTTTTTTTTATTTTAATCTATAGGAGCGTGTTTTATTATGTATTTTGCTCTTAAATAAACAAAGTATGGAATAAATATCATTTATTCCGTTATTTTACTTCGTACAATAACTGATATTCATAAAGAATATACGTTATTTTACTTTGTGATTTTTAAAATACACTCTTATAGATTAAATTGAGACACCAAATATGTATGTTTGGTATTTCAATTAAATAATATTTTTACGTAAAAAAATATTACGCTAATAAATCAAATTGATTTATATAAGTATCATTTATATTAAATAATTACAATTCTTCTAATTTATTAGATACCCAAGAAATGTAATTTTCTAGAGACACAGCTTCAACAACGATAGGCATAAATGCGTGGTTTGCACCGCAAAGTTCGCTACATTGTCCATAAAATACGCCCTCACGTTTAATGAAAATAGGAATTTGGTTTAATCTACCAGGTACTGCATCACATTTTACCCCTAGTGAAGGCACTGCCCAACTATGTAAAACATCAGCTGCTGTAATAATAACTCGAATATGAGTTTCAACTGGAACAACTACACGATTATCTACTTCTAGTAATCTATATTGCCCTAATTCTAAATCATCATCAGGAATCATGTAACTATCAAAAGCAATGCTTTGATCATCAGCTACACTATAGTCTGAATACTCATAACTCCAATACCATTGATGACCAATAGCTTTTATAGTTACTGCAGGGTCTACTACTTCATCAAGGCTATATAATAATGCGAATGAAGGTACTGCAATTAATATTAATATTAAACTTGGTGTTATTGTCCATGCAATTTCAATCACTGTACCATGAATGATTTTTTCTGGAACGGGATTACGTGTATAATGAAATAAATATAACGCTCTAGATATCATCCATAATACAAATACTAATATAATAATTAAGAAAAATTGAATGTCATGATGTAAATCAATAAGACCTTGCATAATAGGAGTTGCTGGATCTTGAAAACCAATTTGCCATGCTTCTGGCGCATCAGAAAATGAAACAAATGGTATTACTGTATATGCAAATAATAAAAATTTCATAAATAGATGGTTTTTATAATTTTTTTCAAATCGAATTTATTTTTTTTAACAAAAAATACAATTGAAAAAAATATAGTCTCTTTTTTTCTCTAAAAATTTTAGATGCTTAGTAAAGCTATACTAAGAAGATTTTTAGGTTTATTCTTTAATAAATTTTAAAAGATTTTTATATTTATAAATTACTATTTCAAATTTATAAATATAAAAATCTTAGATATATAAAACGATATAAATTTTAGCGACTTAATAAATTATGCAAAATCTTTTGCTTTTAATTTATTTTTAGAATTTTTAATAAAATCTATTGGTTTTTTATTTAATGCTAAACTTTGTTGTATATTAGGTAATACGTTATCGTGTATTTTTTTTTGAAGTTTTTGAGGAAACGATTGTTGTAATTTATATAAATGTGTATACATTTTAGAAATTTGAGAATCTATTTGGTGTTTTAAACTATACTCTGCTAATTTCTGAGTAGATTCACTTTGTTCTACTAAACTAGCTGAAAAAACAGATAACACTTGAGAAACTGGTATAATCTGTTTATATTGATCACGAATAGATAAATCTTGATGAATTTGAGTGATATATGATTGGTTTAATTCATCGTGAATAGTATCACCTCGTTCTTGGATCGATGCTGTTAAAGTATCTCCAAAGTAATGTTTAATTGCAAATATAAACCCAAAAAAACAAATTAATACTAATGTCTCTTCATTATAAATTAATATATGTTTTGAGCTTGCTACGCAAAACGCTAAAACAATATATAATAATATGTACGGTTTAGATAATGATTTCATATATAGTCTATAATTATTACGGTAGAATAAACAGGGATTATTATGGTAAAATATGTATGTAAAAAAACCGATTTATATTTTATGCTTTTTTCTTAGAAGAACTTTTTGAAGATTTAGACTTAGATGTATTTTTTGATACAGTTTTTGTTTGCGTTGTTGTTGCTAAATCTTGAACGTTGTTTTCAGAACTTAAATTAGACACTCCATTTAGTTTAGTAGATTTATTACTTAAAATCTCTGTTGCTAAACTTTGGAATCCAAAATAAGGTACATATAAATTTGGAGATTTTAATAAATTTGATTTCCATTTTTTTTTGTCCCCTAGTTTATGTATATTTACAGTTTCAAGTGTTTTAACTGCAGATTTTGCTTTTGGTAATACATTAGCAGAAAAAGTAGAAGACACTTTTAATGGCGCTGCATATCTTAATACAAGAAATTGTGATAGAGACTGTAAAGTTAGAGTTTTTTTGAAAGTATTTGTGAATTTTGAAAGAGAATTTTCAAGTAATTGTTTTGAATTACTATCTTTCCAACTTTCCACAGCTGTTTGAGATGTTGCAACTGTTTGATTTACATAACCTAAAACATTAGCAAATAAAGTTTCTTTTTTTTTAGATGCTTCTATGTATAACGGTTGAAAATTTGATTTTGATTCGTGTGATTTGTTACTTAATCTTTCACGAACGCTGTATATACGATACATTTTTGGAAGAAAACTTTTATATAAATAAAAATAAAAACCTACAAAAGCTACTAATAACCAAAAATATTGTGATAAAAACGAAACTAAATCTAATTGTGGCATAATGATATAAAATTTTTAAAATAGAAGGGTGAATAAATGAAATTTATTGTGAATAAATAAAATTTATTACGAATAAATGAAATTTATTTTAAACCGCCAAGTTGCCTTCTTTATGTTTTGAATAATAAAAAAGACAAAAAATAATAATATTAATTTTTAAATCTTTTTATATAGTCTATATTATTTTTATATAAAAATAACCAAAGACTTCAAAAGAATGGGAAAGGCAGGATTCGAACCTACGTAGAAAACATTCAACAGATTTACAATCTGCCGCTTTTAACCACTCAGCCACTCTCCCTATATCTGTCTATATAGATTAACTCTCCCTATATCTGTCTATATAGATTAACTCTCCCTATATCTGTCTATATAGATTATTCCTATATAAAATAAATGAAAATTAAGGAAATACTTAAATGAAAATTAAGGAAATACTTAAATGAAAATTAAGGAAATCCTTAAATGAAAATTAAGGAAAATTAAGGAAATTTTTAAAAATAGTCGGCAACTTTGGGCAAAAAGGAACTTAAACTTTGGGCAAAAAGGGACTTAAACTTTGGGCAAAAAGGGACTTAAACTTTGGGCAAAAAGGGACTTAAACTTTGGGCAAAAAGGGACTTGAACCCCTGACCTCACGTTTATCAGACGTGTACTCTAACCAACTGAGCTATTTGCCCTTATCATGATAATATACTAAAATTATAATTTATTTTGTTTTATAATAAAAAAATAATAAAAGATATATTATACACGACGTTTTTTTGGAGGACGACATCCATTATGTGCAATTGGTGTAACTTCTTGAATTTGTTTAATAACTAAATTTGATTTTTGAAGACCTCTAATAGCACTTTTTTTTCCATAACCTAAGCCTTTTATTTTTACAATTACTGTACGATATCCGCTATTAAATGCCTTGGTTGCTAAAGCTTCTGCTACCGCACCAGAGGCGTAAACTGTAGATTTTCGTGAATTTTTAAAACCTAGAGTACCAGCCGAAGCAAAAAATTGTGTATTGCCTTGTAAGTCTGTAAGTGTAACTAGAGTATTATTAGTTGTACTCTGTATGTGTATAATTCCACTTTTTTTTTCGATAAATTTTCTAGAGATTTGAGTTTTTTTTACAAGCATAAAAATTGGTATATTTTATTTGATTAGAGTCCATTGTTATGGTATATTTTTAGGAATACCATTCGTAAAATCCTAAAATTTATTCATTAGTTAAAATAAATGAAATTTATTTTAACTGAGATTTATTCATTTATTTCAAATTAGTTTTACGAAAATTAGAGTTATTGCAGTAATGATTAGAATTTAATATTATTTTTCAATTTTCGTACTGTGCGTGCATTTCCATGTGTTCTTTGGCCTCTAACAGGTAAACCTTGAATATGTCTATATCCTCTAAAACTATGTATATTTACTAATCGTTGTATGTTTTGTCTTGTAAATCGTCTAACATCACTACCTGTATCATAGTTTTGAGTTATAATTTGTGCTAATAAAGAATGCTGACCTGCTGATAACATGCCTAATCGAGTTTCTGGACTAACACCTAATACATCACAAATTTGTAAACAATGATGATGCCCTAATCCATAAATTTGTGTGCATGCTTGATAAATTGGTTTTTTATCATTTAAATGCGTATTTTGTATGTATACCATAAATATTTTTCTATATTTTATATTTAAATAGAAAAACTTAAATACTGACGTATATTTTATATCAATTACTATCATGAAAATATACGTTCTATTATTTACGTTTTCCTGTTCGTGTCGTTATATTTTCATTAGATAAGCGAATACCCTTACCTTTATATATACTAGGTGGTCGAGTGTTACGTATAGAATGAGCTACTTGTGAAACTTGATTTAGGTCCACACCAAATAAACATATTTCTGAAGGACTTTGTAAAAACACACGTACCCCACTAGGAACTTTATAATGTATATCATGGCTATGTCCTAATTTCAACACAATTGTATCTTTAATTGGAGAGCCTTGATCTGTTTCTCCTTTCGAAGGTTGTACGGAGTAAAATAAATCAAGTTTATCAAGATAAATTTCATTTATTTTATTTTGTACACCAACTACACTTTCAGAAGAAATTAAAGATGCACGATAACCAACTCCAACAATATCAAGATAGATACAAAAACCTCTAGAAACACCAATAAATTTATTTTCAATGAGTTGTTTATATAATCCATTATATGATGGATGGAAAGAACGTACAATTACTTGTTTATTTCTAGTATCTATATTTATACAAGCTGATCCAAATCGATCTAATTTTTTCAGATCGAGTGTTGACGAACCTAATGGACCTGTTATAGTATAGACTGAACTACTGATATTCTTTTCCAAACTTATATTTTCTGGTATTTTTATTACGGTATCTATAAGAGATTTGTTTTTCATGATTTTTTTGTATATTTTGTACAGTTTTACGTAGGTATTTGGAAAGCACTATATAAAAGTGTACCATCTTTTTTAAAAAAAGAAGTTGTAGATAATGATATTTGTATGCCAGTAACATTTTGAAATAATTCATCATATTGCTGTAATTCAGGAAAATAGTTAGAATTTAGTACTACAAAGTCTCGATTATATGTTCTTTTATAAGCAGCTCCGTGACCCTTTTTCGGCTCTAAATTGACAGATTTTTTATTTTTTACTTCTAAACTTGACCAGTCTTTCACACGTGTAGAAACAATAGATATATATTTTTCTAAAAATCTATACATTGTTTCACCTCGCAAACTAGCTTTACAACCTAATATTTGATTTTGTCTAAGTTTAAAACTAGATATTGATTTTTTTGCACAAGTGTATTTTGGTTTTTGACCTGTAATCATTTCAAGAGCAGAACAGGCAGGTAAGATAGACTCTTTTTCTCCTACATAGTGTTTAGAACTAGTATTACATACAATTTGATCTAAAGATGAACATTCCATTATATTTTTATAATTTTGTTTTAGACAAAGATCGTGGCATATAATGTCTTGATAATATCGTTGTAAATTTGTATCTGTATATAACGAGTAAAAAAGTCCACTATTATCATTTAGTTTGAAAGCTGCTGTTGTTTCAGTATGATTTAATAATAAATTATTATTATCTTTTTTTTTGTTATAATTTTGCATAATAAACTTGGTTTATTTAATTATTCTATATAATGTTGGGTAAAATAAATAAAATTTATTAAAAAAATTCGATTTATTGTATCGAGTATTGTTTTAAAATATAAAACAATACTCGATACAGTCAAACCTTATTGTTAAACAAATTATCTTGATCTCTTTCTAAAATAACGGAAATGAAATTTAGTTATTTTAATAAATTTCATTTATTTTACCTTGAGTAAATTATTTCATTATAGAAGTTTTTTCCACTTGTTCCCAAGGACTATCAAAATCGAAATACCTAAATTCTTGAGTACATTCTATAGATTCAATACATACTCGTTTTTCTGAATCATCATAACGAACTTCAACATAACCACTTAAAGGAAAATCTTTACGAAGAGGGTGTCCTTGAAATCCATAATCAGTTAATATGCGTCGTAAATCAGGATGGTTGTGAAAAAATACACCAAACATATCCCAAACTTCACGTTCCCACCAAGCTGCGCTAGAATATACTGGAGTAGCTGACTCTAGAGTAGTATATTCATCAACACAAGTTTTAATGCGTATTCTACTGTTATATTCTACACTTAACAAGTTGTAGACACATTCAAAACGAGATGCTCGAGAAGGATAGTCAGCTGCAGTGATATCTACACATACTTTATATTGAGTTGACATATGATCGCGTAAAAAATAAAGAAATGGTTTTAAATATTCAGGGTATACATAAAAAGTCGTTTCATTTCTATGAGAGACATGATATTGAATCCACTGAGGTACCATTAATAGTATAGATTTTTCGAAATTATTGCTCATATAAATTAATAGAGGTTTTTTGATTTTTGTCTATAAAACGATATTTATTTTTCAATTTATAATTAAAATAACGAGTAAAATAAATGAAAGTTATAAACCATAATTATGTCTTTAAATAATAGCGTGTTGTATTGTATTTTTGACATAATCTCTTTGAAATAAACAAAATTTATTTAGTTATTTTTATAAAACAAACAAAATTTATTCAGTTATTTTTATAAAACAAACAAAATTTATTCCAGATCAAAAATTTGCCAAAACACGACTGAATAAATGTAATTTATTCTACTTGGCTTTAAATTTGGAGATGAACGGAGTCGAACCGATGACTTCATGCGTGCAAAGCATGCGTTCTACCAACTGAACTACATCCCCGAAAAAAGTTTGGAAAGTTATTCGGAAGAAATGGGATTTGAACCCATGGTACATCATAAAACATACGCTGATTTAGCAAACCAGTGCCTTAAGCCACTCAGCCATTCTTCCATTAAGAACAATTTATTTTAATAAATGAAATTTTAGTTATTTTACTTCGTTTACTTCGTACACGAAGTAAACCTAGTAAGTTTAATAAATTATATTGATTTTAATTTCATACAACCAAGTGTAACAAGTACAACCAACACTAAAAACTTAGTACGGGCGGCAGGGCTTGAACCCGCAAGACTCTAAATCGCTAGAACCTAAATCTAGTGTGTCTACCATTCCACCACGCCCGCTCCTTCGTATAAAAAAGGTTTTGGGTAATAACGGACTCGAACCAATAACCGTCTCGTTGTAAGCGAGGTGCTCTACCATTGAGCTAATTACCCACAATAGTTAATTTTTAATAAATCGGATTTACTATGCCTATATGTTGATACGGATAAGGGAGGATTCGAACCCCCGATACTCTTTCGAATACGCCGGTTTTCAAGACCGGTACTTTCAGCCACTCAGTCACTTATCCCCAGTTAAAATAACTGATATTCATAAAGAATATACGTTATTTAAATTCGTTTACTTCATTGAACGAAGTAAAATAAATTAAATTTATTAAATCTTTTGTCCAACTCTATCAATTGTCTAGAGGTGGATTTGAACCACCGACACAAGGATTTTCAGTCCTCCGCTCTACCCCTGAGCTACCTAAACATTTACAAAAATATATCATTACCTTACTTCGTTGTACGAAGTCGAAACGAAGTAAAAACAAATCGAATTGAAAATAGAAAGCAATTAATGATATACGAGGACGACGGGAGACGAACCCGCGACCCTTGGCGTGACAAGCCAATACTCTAACCAACTGAGCTACGTCCTCATTAATGAGATTTACCTCATTAATGAGATTTACCTCATTCATGAGATTTACCTCATTTAAACTAAATTAAAACGAATGAAAATAAATGAAAGTTATTTATGTCTATGCCTAAAATAAATGAAATTTATACAACAATATCGAATCGAAATAATAAGCTAAATTGCTGCTTTTTACTATATTTTTATTAGCGAAAAGCAGCAATTTAAAATCCCTTATTTATTAAATAAATCAGATTTATTTTACTTGGATGAACCAAGTTACTTGGTTCAACGATGTTACCAAGTACAACCAACAATAAAATATAAATTAAGACTTATATTTAATTAAATAGTGTTCAATTTTTCCTGTTAACGGTACAGCTACTAAAAAATAAAAAAAGAAAAATACTGAAGCAAGTTGTCCAATAATAATATAAGGATCTTCAACAGGTTTTTGACCTATCCAACTTAATAAGAAACAATCAGCTAAAATACACCAGAATAATTTTCTATGTATTGGTCTGAAATTGTTACTACGTATAGGTGACGTATTTAAGAAAGGTAATGAAAATAAAGAAACAAATACTAGAGCAATGGCTGCAACACCAGCTAATTTGTTTGGAATACTACGAAGAATAGCATATACCCATAAGAAATACCATTCAGGCACAATGTGTGCAGGAGTACTCATAGGATTTGCAGGGATATAATTATCTGGATGTCCTAATAAATTAGGGAAAAAATAAACAAACACAGAAAAAAATAAAGCAAAAGCTACCCAAGCAACTAAGTCTTTTACGTAAAAATAAGGATATAATCCAAGCTTGTCTACAGCTGAATTTGTACCTAAAGGATTATTTGATCCATATTGGTGTAATGCTGCAAGATGTACAATTGTTAATCCTGCAATAACAAATGGTAATAAATAATGTAAACTAAAGAATCTATTTAGAGTTGCATTATCTACAGAGAATCCTCCCCAAAGCCAAGTTACTATAGAATTTCCAACTACGGGAATAGCACTAGCTAAACTTGTAATTACAGTAGCACCCCAAAAGCTCATTTGACCCCATGGCAATACATAACCGATAAAAGCTGTAATAATCATTAATAATAAAATGGCAACACCTACAATCCATAATAATTCACGAGGACTTGTATAGCTTCCATAATATAAACCACGAAACATATGGATATATACTACAATGAAAAACATACTTGCTCCATTTGCATGCATATATCTAAGTAACCATCCACCTTCAACGTCTCTCATAATATGTTCTACGCTCATAAATGCCAAGTCAACGTGTGGTGTATAGTGCATTGCTAAAAAAATCCCAGTAGCTATTTGAACTACTAAACAAATTCCTGCAATACTACCAAAACTCCAAAAATAATTAAGGTTACTTGGTGATGGATAATCTACAATATGATCATTTAATATTGATAATATTGGTTGTTTTATAATTGATAGTCTTTTCATGAAATTTTTTTATTTTTTTATAAACAAAGTACAACGATGTTTATAATCCTGGTATTAATAAATGAAATTTATTAACAATCAAGCTTAATATAGAGTCTTGTCTTATAAAGGACTTTGTTCTTTACTTGTCTTATAAAGGACTTTGTTCTTTACTTGTCTTATAAAGGTCTTTGTTCTTTACTTGTCTTATAAAGGACTTTGTTCTTTAAAAAAGTTCTATAATTTTATAAATTAATGAGCCAAGCAGGACTCGAACCTACAACTGCGTTGTTATGAGCAACGTGTTCTACCAATTGAACTATAAGCTCATATAAAAATAATACAGCTATAATAAATTATATTTATTATAAAAAAACTCTCAAATTTATCAAGCAGGTTTTTAGCCTCCCCAAGTTGGATTTGAACCAACGGCCCGATGGTTAACAGCCATCTGCTCTACCCCTGAGCTATTGAAGACATATTTAAAATAGAATGTGGTTAAAAGTTAAAATATTTTATTTCTACTTCGTACACTTCGTACCACGAAGGATTAACTTCGTACCACGAAGGAAGTAAAATAAATCGAATTTATTGTTGCTATAATAAAAGTACAAAGTCTATTTATTTGACAAGATTATTATCAAATAAATAGACTTTGTACTTTTATTATTTTTACCAATACTCGTTAGTTATTGAGCTTATAAATTAAGAAAACCCCATATTGGTAAAATAATTATTTTTACCAATATTAGTGTAAATTAATAGCATCGTTTAAGTAGATACAAATAAGGATTGTAAATACATATGCTTGTAAACAAGCAACTCCAATTTCAAGTCCTGTAAGAGCAAAAACTACAGCAAAAGGAAAAACTGATGCTACTGATAGAGCACCACCTACAGAAAGCATAGTCCATGCAAACCCACTTAAAATTTTTACTAAAGTATGTCCAGCCATCATATTAGCAAAAAGACGAACACCCAAACTAATAGCTCGGAAGCAATAAGATACTAACTCTAAAACTACTAATAATGGTGCTAATATTAAAGGTGCGCCTTTTGGTAAAAGAAAACTAAAAAAGTGTAGGCCATGTATTTGGAAACCAATAATAGTGATTGCAATAAAGAGTGAAAGTGATAATCCAAAAGTTACAGCTAAATGAGATGTAGCTGTAAAACTATACGGAATCATACCTATTAAATTCGTAAATAATAGAAATACAAATAGGGTAAATACTATTGGAAAGTATTTTCTTCCTTTTGCACCGATTTGTTCTTGTATTAGACTTCTAACAAACTCATAAATCATTTCTACTAGTGATTGCCAACGGCTTGGTACTAAAAACCCTCCATTTTGAGTTACAAAATGAAATAATAAACCAGCTGTACCAATAGCTAAAAATAAATATAGAGATGAATTTGTAAAAGAAAAGTAATATTTACCAATATGTAAAGGTATTATACTTGATATTGTAAATTGTTCTAAAGGTGTAGAAATCATATGTGTTATTTTATTGAATATACAAAAATTAAAGATAGACTCTTTTTTTGTATAAATATATTTATATATATATTTTTTATAATTAAAATATAAAATTACAATCTTAATTTTATACTATTTTAATAAACAAAGTTTATTTGACCTTTCTTTTTTTATTTTTTTGTCGGTAATAGCCTTTTAAAACCTTAGGCAAAAAAATAATATAAGTTATTAGCTCCAATCAAGAGCTCCTTTGCGCCATTCGTAAACAAAACCTATAGTTAATATTAATAAGAATAGCATCATAGACCAAAACCCAAAAAAACCTATTTTATTTAGAGTTAAAGCCCAAGGAAATAGAAATGCTACTTCAAGATCAAAAATAATAAATAGAATTGCTACCAGATAAAATTGAATATCGAATCGGCCTCGAGCATCGTCAAAAGGATCAAAACCACATTCATATGCTGAGATTTTTTCAGGATCCGCTTTTCTTGTAGAAACTACAAAAGGTAATCCTAATAATAATAGTGATAATGCTAGTGCAATAAAAAAATAAATAAGTATTCCTAAATATTCGTACATTTTTGTTTTTTTGTCTTTATTTTTTTGATTATTGACATTTTTCGACCTAAAATACTTCGTTGTATGAAGTTACTTCGTTGAACGAAGTTAAAACCAAGTAAAATAAATCGAATTTATTAAAGTCAATAATAGAGATTGCAGTTTTTATTTACTAGATAAACAAATAAATGAAATTTATTACCAATAAATGAAATTTATTTTAAACTGGGGAGAAAGGATTCGAACCTTTGCATGTTGAAGTCAAAGTCCAATGCCTTACCACTTGGCTACACCCCAAAAAATAAAGTGTTCCGTTTTTTTACTCTATGTATATAAAACTCTTGTCTATATGATCGACAAGAACTTTATATATTAATCATACCCCTTTTCTTTTAAAAGAGAACAAATAATACATATTATATGTATCTCCGAATAAAATAAACCAAATTTATTTCGGTTATTTTAATGCGCAAATTGATCTATTACATGGACGATAATGTTGGTGGCAGGGAAAATGATAATATTATTGAGCCTTTAACTAATGAGACTGTTTTTTAGTACAAAACATATACCAAAATACGCGCTCACGAGCGAAATAAAGCTACTTTTTTACATCACCTGATAAAATGTATATGCAATGGACTTTTATACTAGAATTTGAGAGATAGATGGGTAAAATAAATATATCGACTAGAAATCAATCAATTACAGTATATCTAATTGCATTCTAATAAGCCAAATAAACATATCTTTTAAGGGTGATATTATAAATATATATACTTTTATTTACATGTTTTATTTTAACAAGCAGCTACTATATTTACACTATCTCTCAGATTGACTAAAAGTGATTATTTGTTATTATAAAAATATATAATATAAAAAATAATAACTAAAATTTATTATTAGTCAATATAAGAGATAGTCATTCTAGTTACTTACTAAAGTTACTTACTAATAATAAATAACATATTAATCTATTTACTTATTATAATTAGTTTTTACAAAGTTGATTTAGCTTTTTATAACGATTTTCTTTGTCCAGAAGCTAATAAAATATACACACATCTTGTAAAACACTTGGGTAAAACTGTTGTTGATATGCAAGTTAAAGAAATACAACACATTCAAGAGAATGTTAATTGGGTGAAATATTGCGTTAAAGAAGGTATTGACCATAATCTTCAAAAACTAATAAATATAGCTTCTGATGGGCAATTAAAGACTAGTATTAATATTTGTTTCAATACACAAAATAGATTATATTTTTAATAATTTATTAGATCATTAATATAATGTCGATTATGTAGAATAAAAAAATATTATAAATTCAAGTTAAAATAAATAATATTGCAAATTTAAAGTGAATTATTTTTATCGTTCATTTAATCAATCCGCTTGTTTAGTCAATCTAGTTACAAAGTCAATTTGAAAAATAGTCAATTTGAGAAATAGTCAATTTGAGAAATAGTCAATCTGAGAAATAGTCAATCTGAGAAATAGTCAATCTAGTTACTATAGTAATCAATAAAGAAAGAAGACAAAGAATAAATATCATCCACTTTACAAAAAACTAACCTACTTATTAGAATCAATCTCGATATTCTCATAACTAACAAAGAAATAAAGTATTCATGCTTAAACTAAGGAGAGCTCTCCATATAATCGACAAGAACTTTATGAAAAAAATTATTTAAGTCGCTTTTAATAAATTTTATTTATTTTAATTTCATACAACCAAGTAAAATAATTATATAAGTTTATTTCTTAATAAACTTCACACAACAAAATTTAAAAATGAATTCTTCTAGAATGCTATTTCATTACAATGAAATACGTTATCGTATATTTTATATATTTTATTCTTTAATTTGTACATTAATTACTTGCTACTATTATCAACTTGAGCTGATGTATCTTATATCTCGACCTTTTCTACAATTAAATCAAATATTACAATCAACTGATATTACAGAAGCATTATCGACTACTTACAAATTATGTATTTATGTTTCTCTAGGCGTCTGTATATTTAATTATATTTATCAATATTGGAGTTTTTTGGTACCAAGCCGTTATAATTTTGAAAGAAAAGAAATAACAACTTTTTTGCTCTTGTTTTCGACTATTGTTTGCATCGAAACATACTTGATATATTTTTATATATTTCCACAAATTTGTGAGTTATTTTCAAGTTTTCAAATCTATATCAACTATACAGATAACAATCAAGGTAAAATAAATGATATTTATCTCCAAAATTCGGAAAAAACGGATTTATTGTTTTATTTTAATAAAACGGATTCATTTAAAATAATAGAAATGTCTCCTCGTGTGGAATCAACAGTAAGTTCAAGTATACAAATTTATTTTTTACTTGTCCTATTTTTTCAAATACCAGTAATATTTATAGCTTTATTTTATTTATCTTATTTTGACTGTTTTAGTCTTTGTAGATATAGAAAAATTGTATTTTTTTGTATCATTTGTATTTCATCATTACTATCTCCCCCAGAAATATTGAGTCAATTTTGTTGCTTATTAGTAACCAGTTTTCTTTTTGAATTTTCTTTATGGATTGGCTTTGTATTGCGTTTTTTTAAATAAAAAATTTACTTGGTTGTACCAAATAACTTGGTTGTACGAAGTAACTTCGTACAACAAAGAATTTTAAAATATAATAAAGTGATGTTAGGTATTGTCGAATCTATAGACCTTGAGATATTGAATCAATATATCATTTATTTTAAACAAGAATCTATGTACGTATATATCTATGAATTAACATTTTTGTACATATATAATACATAATCAAAACATAATAAACAAGTTATTTTCTTTTTTTTATTTAAATAACTTTCATTTATTTTACAAAGCAAAAATCAAAATATAAATCTATGGATTTTTTATTTTATATATTTTCCAGTTTAACATTAGTATCAGGTGCACTAGTTATTCAAGCCCGAAATCCTGTACACTCTGTATTATTTCTAATTCTAGTATTTTTTAATGCTGCAGGTTTATTAGTATTATTGGGATTAGACTTTTTTGCACTATTATTTTTAGTTGTGTATGTAGGGGCTATAGCAGTATTATTCTTATTTGTAGTTATGATGTTAAATATAAGAATTTCTGAGATCAGCGAAAAAAGATTACGTTATCTTCCAGTTGGTGGTGTATTGGCGGTACTATTTTTATTTGAAATTTGTATACTTATCGATAATGATTTGATTCCATTACTATCATATAATATTGAAAATACTGAATTACTAGCCAACTACAATCAATTATCTTTTATAGATTGGCGAATGTTTTTATCTACATCTCATACAATAGATGCTCTAGGTAGTCTATTATATACTTACTACTTTTACTTTTTTTTAGTAGCTAGTCTTATATTACTAGTTGCTATGATTGGAGCTATTGTTTTAACAATGCAAAAAGGAATTCGTATTAAAAGACAACAAGTTTTTTTACAAAATACAAGAGATTTTGCTAAAACTATCAGAAAAGTAGCATAAAATAACCTTTAGAAAAACGTTATTTCAGTATATAAATATAGATATAAAAGTATAAACATAAAACAAATATAATTATATTTGTTTCTAGACTATAAAAAAAAGAAAAACACATAAATAAATACTATGGATTTATCTAAATATCTTACAGTTTCCATGATATTATTTCTATTAGGAATTTGGGGCATTTTTTTAAATAGAAAAAATATTATTGTAATGTTGATGTCAATTGAGCTAATGTTATTAGCAGTGAATTTAAATTTTTTATTATTCTCTGTCTATATTGATGATTGTATAGGTCAACTTTTTGCGCTATTGATATTAACAGTTGCTGCAGCTGAATCCGCGATAGGATTAGCATTACTTGTAGTATATTATCGTATTCGTGGAACCATTGCAGTAGAATTTATTAATTTAATGAAAGGTTAGAGTCCAATAGACCCGGTTGGTTTCATCTCTCTACTCTATTATTTGGACTCTATTTTTTATTAAAAATTACTAAACTTTTAAATTATGCTTTTTTTTAGCCTATTTGATAGAATAGGCTAAAAAAGCATAGGTTAAAATATAAAATAAATGATATTTATTAAAACAAAGTATTACTTGGTGTACAAAGTAAAATAACGGAATAAATATCATTTAAATAAATTCGATTTACTAGTGCTTGTAGCTCAATTGGATAGAGCGTCAAACTACGGATTTGAAGGTTGAGAGTTCGACCCTTTCCAAGCACGTATTCCAGTTTTTAAACTGCTTTTATTTATAAGGTTTTAATAAACTTGGTTGTATGAAATTACTTCGTACAACCAAGCCTACTTAACTCAATTGGTAGAGTATCGGTTTTGTAAACCGAAGGTTATCGGTTCGAGTCCGATAGTTGGCTAAATGAAGAAAACTTCAATATCTATAATTCTTAATAAATTGATTGTAACATTAGATATAAATTTTATTTGTCAAGTTTTACTTGGTGCATCTTAGGAGAATAGTTGCAATGGTAGAATAATGGTCTCCAAAACCAAAGGTTAAGGGTTCGAGTCCCTTTTCTCCTGATTCCAGGTAAACTAATAAATAATATTTATTTAGCTATTTTCCTGCAACATAAATGAAGTTTGTATCTGGTCAAAATAAATGTAGTTTGTTTTGACCTATCGTATGTATGATATTATTGGTAAAATAAATTTTATTTATTAAAATAAATAAAATTTATTATGGTGTTGTTATTGTTTTTTGTCTCGTTAATAGTATTAACGAGAGAATTATAGTAAAAAACGTCATATCAATAATAGATAAAGCGTTACATATGTAAATGTTATAAGAAAAAAGAGTACATAAGATTTCCAAATTTATGGCATTATCTTTAAGTGAAATATCAGTATTACTAGAACAAAAAATTTCAAATACATATTCAAAAATTAATGTAGACGAGGTAGGTCGAGTATTATCAGTTGGTGATGGTATTGCTCGTATTTATGGTTTAAAAAAAATCCAAGCAGGTGAAATGGT